ACTCGACGTCACTGCAGGAAGACGGAGATACTCGACAAAAAAATTATTCCTTCAAGGGAATCAAACTCACGTCCTCTGCGAGCAACACCTAAACCACAGGTGCCTGTAAGTTTGGGCTTAGGAGGCTTCGCTTTTCAAAAGGAGGTCTCATGAATGTGAAACAAAAGAGCACGTCATTCTTCAAAATTGTCCCTGTTAAGCGAAGCGCTTAAATTCGCTCAAATTGATGTCGCGGATATAATTAAGTATACCCTTCAAACCAATGTATTCGGCCTTTGTAGAGTAGTAGTTAGGCACTTTGCCATCACATATAGAAGACTTGATTTCGATTCCGTGTGGGAAATATTGTTATCAGGTACTTCCGTCTTTCCTCTAGGACGTTGTATCCCTCTCAGCCCGGGTTGGTCCTGTCAGATAGGGTCGAAGCCCGCCTCCAAAATAATCTACTTTGTATCAATGGTGGTGTAAAAAAAACACCTATACATTTTTTTAAAGAGCAAAATGAGTACACCTGAGAAGTGTCAAAAACCATCTGTTTCAGCTTATTAGCCGCAATATATCTGAAAAGTTATCGGTGGGTGGTTCTAGGGCGCAAATAGAAGATCCTACTTCTTTCCTTTCGCTCAGTTGTTTCTGTCTATCTACCTTGCTTCTTTCCTGCACTTAAATGACTATTATTGTGTCGATTTGCTTCTCTTTACTCAAACTCAAACTGAAAGGTTATCAACATAACAATATATTTTTTCCTTCAGGTCATGATAACCATTATGATTTCCTCCGTAATTCATATAATGCTGTATTGGTTTTATTCTCTGCAACTTAGACAGACGTAATTTCTTTTTTTGTATTTGTGTCCGCATTATCTATCCTCCCCCCCCCCCCCCCCCTCCTCCCGAAACCTTTTCCGCCACACTTTGTAAAGATTCTCTTTCTGATCTTTGTGCGGTTGGGTCTTGAGTCGAGCTGGCTGTGACAAGAAAATTCCATTTCACTTTTTTGTTTATTCAAACCATTCCCATTTAATGGCTCTGAGGGTATTAAGAAGATCAGTCTATTTATTGCGTGCTACAGTTCATTGCGCAATGTTTGGTTTTTAGGCGCCCACACACAGTGTTACAGGTTGTGATTGTTGAGAAAAAGTCAGAGAGAGAGAGAGAGAGAGAGAGAGAGAGAGAGAGAGAGAGAGAGAGAGAGAGAGAGAGAGAGAGAGAGAGAGAATTATATGTGGATTTTGGGGAGAAATAGATGGATGGGAGTTGAAGGGGGAGGGGGGGCTCTTGACTTTCTAAAATTGAATTAGTAACTGAATGAGTGAACAGCTCTTTCAACACTGTGAGATTATTCAAGAGGACGAACAGACCATCGAATTCAAAATCCATCTCCGAAAGGACCAAGCGAAATAGTCGGGATAGAGAGACTTGAAAAATTCCCTAACAACTCAAGTTCAGGAACAGTCATTGGAAGATTCACACCATGGCCATCTGTGTGTCTGTGGTCTGTAGACCAACGTGATACTGAATGAGCAAGGTGCACACTGTGACTCTTCTGTCTTTCCAGTGTTACTACAAGTTTTTTAGTCGTTACGAGTCAGGGCGGGTGGTTGGAGGGCACCATTGGTAAGGTCTAGTCCTTTCCTTGTCTGTGTTGTTTTAGTCTGTTTGGCTTTCTTTTTCCTTGCACCTTATGATCGCAATTGTGTCTGTGTTTCTCTTTTCGTAAACTAACAACTCAAAGTCGTGTGTAGTTGACAGGTGCTCTGGTTTTCTCGTTCCTTCTTTCTTATCAAATGGCTGGTGTTCTTATATGTCTCTTCTTTCTTTAGTTTGTATGTTACCCTCTAGTAACGCTTCTAACCTTCGGCTCATATGTAACCTATTTGCATAGCAAGTGCTGTAAAATTCTTTCAACTACAACTCGTGGGTGGTTGGCGGGTACTCTGGTGTGATTTGCTCCTTTCCTATCAAACGTCTATCGCCCTTTTCTCCTCTCCTTCTATTTTGTGTTTGTTACTCTCTTATAACACCTCTTATCTTCGGCATTTATATGACTTTATTGTGCTGCAAGTGCCGTAAAACTCTTACTTAAACTAAAAAAGTACAACTCAACTTTAATATATTTCAGGGTTGGTGCTTCATCTACTACTTCATGATGCTCCTCTCCGTTATCCATTTTACACTTTTGTCGCTCGCCCATCTGAATGAAATCAAGCCTCAGTTCGCTGAAATCCACGCTGCCCTGATGGCCTGTGAGTAATATGAAAAAATACTCCTCTTTAATAAGTGGGTGGTTGGAGGCTGATTTGGTGCAGTTTGCTCCTTCTTTTCTATCAAACATCTATTGTCCCTATCTCACACTTCCTTTTTGTGTTCGTTACTCTCTTGTAACACGTCTAATCTTAAGCACTTATATGACCTAATTGTATTGCAAAGTACCGTAAAGCTCTTACCAAAACACACACAATACATATCCACTGTGTCGATATAGATAGATAGATAGATAGATAGATAGATAGATAGATAGATAGATAGATAGATAGATAGATAGATAGATAGATAGATAGATAGATAGATAGACCACAGAAGTGGAACCTACCATCACTGCGAGCATTGTCGTACTAAGATAGGGCAATACATTAAATGGTTTTAATGGGTTGGGCACCTGGATGTCGGGTGGGGTGGGGGGGGACGTCTTTTGTTCGCACTTTAGATGTCTTTTGAGCCCCGTGTGGAAAGGTGATGAATCAAGAGTCTTGTGGTTGGCATGAAAGCTACACCATTTTGAATTTCAGACTAAGTATCATGGTTACAGAGGTTGATAGTTTTATAATTTAAACATGACCATCGTGTCATGCACTAAATTGTAAATCTGAGGACAATATCCAAACGGGGCATAAGATTTATATTCGCTTTGATTATGTTTTTTATGGATCTTTGTTTATGATATTTCAGGTTACAACGAATTAATCGTGTTTATTTTTGTCTGACATAAATATATTATGTCCCTGTGGTACGGTCTGTTACATAATTTACTGTGACCCAGCAACATCTATTGTCGGCTCCAAGAGCAGCCTCGGCCACACAACAAGACATGGCAACTAGAATGTGATGGTTATGGGGTTAGAAAATTTCAGGTTGCCAAAAAATACAAAATATAAACATACACTACCTTAGCAAAAATGACCAATTTGAAATAATTCTTGCTAACGAATCTTATACTGGATGTCCTCCAGTGTAATTGACAAAACAAAAAAGATACCCTTAGCAGCAGTTTAGGCAAACTGCCCATTTTTTAAAAATTGTTTTTGACACTTACAAAGTTTTCTAGTCTACTTCAGCGGACTCTTTTTTTGGTTCCTGAAAAGTGAAAGAGAATTTTGACCCCGACCCCGACCCGTTCCTTCCTAAGATACATTTAAAACGTCTTTCTCGCATGACGTCGTGGGGGGGGGGGGGGACAAAGTTGGCTTCTTTGAGAGTAGAGACCCCAGATTGTGTGCGTAGTAGGTCAGGTAAATTCCATAATATGGATGGCTTTAGATTACTTTTACCAAAATATATTCTTGTGATCTCTATCAGGTAAAAGCCGGCGCTCTTGGTGCTCTTGGTTTTGGCTTGTTTAGAGAGTTTTGTGGTTGGTTGGCCGACATTTTGGTTTCGTTTGCTCCTTCTTTCTTTTCAAGCATCTATCGACCTTATTTCTCCTCCTTTTTAAAAATTTTATTTTACTCTCTAGTGTTACAAGTGTAGTAAAACTCTCACAAAAACTAAAATCTGGCGAGTTTTTACGGCGCTCCAGCAAGTTTGCTGCGTCCTATCGGAGATGAACATTGTATTGGGAGCATCCGCCTCTTGAACACCTTTTAATCGGCGTCTGTGATGTAGTAGTTGGGCGCTTTGTCACCTCATGCAGAAGACCCGAGTTACATTCACTTGAGGGGAGAATTTTGATCCAGTACATGTATCTCGGTCTTTCTGCTGGGATGTTGCAACCCTCTCAGCTTTGACTGGCCCTGACACGTCTAAATTGTTTCGATGAGGGTATAAAAGACGTACATTTTTCATTTTTTTAAAACACTCTTCACTCTTATGAATATGATGAGGTCGTAAAACAATTACAGTAAAAATTTCTGGCACAGTCACTCATTGTCGAGGAGAAGTGGCTGTCTTAGACAGCTGGAGGACTTAAGAACAGATTCGACTGTAATAATAAATTTATTATTATTTGACTGTACAATCAATCCATCTGTCATCGTGGTTGGTTGGCGGGTGCTCTGGTGTGGTTAGCTCCTTCTTTCCTATCTAACATCTATCATCCTTATCTCCCCTCCTTCTTTTTTTTTTGGTATTTATTGTTACTCTCTTGTAGCATCTCTAATCTTCGGCACTTACGAGGGGCATACAATATTTTTTTTTACCTGACAATGAAGGTATAAAGATATGAAGGGTATGTTATTCTCCAGTTTCAACCTGAAAATGGAGAAAACTGAGCACAGGGCAATAATGAAATGTTTGTCCTTGCAAAGCAAGCAGCTACAGGGTAATTTTACGGAGATGCATGCCGTATACGGAACTGATTGCCCATCCTACGCTGTGATAACATTTTGGAAGAAAAAAAATTAAATGCAGATTCATAAACATTGAAGATTACCACCGTGATGATCGCCCTGTGACAGCAAAAAAAAAGAAGAGAATTGTTGAAAATCAAGAAACGTGTGTTGTGTGATAGGCGGGTGACAGTCGAACGTTTGAGCAAAGAAACTTGGCTTAGCATTGGGCCAGTTGAACGAATCGTAAATTAACATATCTTTAATATGACCCAGGTTTCTGTGAGATGGGTCCCTTGTTTGATGACTCCTCTTCAAAAAGCGTAACGTGTGGATTGTTGTTAAGAATTGCTATGTCTGTGTGAAAATGAAGAAACTACATTTTTTTAAAGACTTGTAACAGTAGATGAACCCTTGTTCACCACTACGATTCTGAGTTAAAATCTACATTAATGCAATGGAAATCGCCCGCATCTCCAACACAAAAGAAGGCAAAGGTGCAGCCATCAAGTGGAAAAGTGATTCTATTACGGTTTTGGGGACCAAGAAGGAGTGATTATGACAGACTGTCTAGAAAATGGACATACGATCACCGGAGACCATTATTCCATCCAGCTAAAGAATTACGAGATGCTATGAAATAAAAACGCAGAGAAAAGATCCAAAAAGGCTTTTTGCTGCTTCAAGACAACGCGCCGGCACACACTTCAAGAAAAGCTGCAGAATCTGCGCGAGAAAGTGTATTTGACAGTTTGCCGCATCCACCCTATTCTCCTGGTTTAGCCCCATCGGACTTTTGTGGGGGGGGGGGGGTTGGATTCCCTTGACTAAAAAAAGTATTTAAAAGAAAAAGCATTTTGAACGTGATGATAAGGTCAAAGAAGCGGTAGGGGCATGTTTTCTGACAAAGAGAGGGTCTTCTATTCTTAAGGTATTTTCAAGGTCATACACCGATGGCAAAAAATTATAACTGTGGGAGGCGACTACACCGAGAAAGATTAAGGTTAGTACCAATTTTCAGCTTTCTACCTTTATTCCTTCTTCATGGTCAAGTAAAGAAAAAAATTGTTGGTATGCCTCTGGTATGTGACCTATTGTGTTGCAAGTACCATATACCTCTTACTAAAACTAAAACTAACTGTCCTCCTCAGCCAACGACTCGTACAATATGGTCCATATGGTGGCCTTCTCCCAACCTGTGCTCGCCCTCCGAGTCCTGGAGCAGATCATCAGGTCCTTCTTCACCATCGAGTTCCTTGTCAGGCTTGTGTGCTGTCCGCATAAAAGCAAATTCTTGAGGTGAGTGTGGGAAAGAGTGGCCAGACTTGACAATTCAGAGAACGTATCGTGTTCTATCTCAAGGGTTCGCAATAGACTGACGGACGGACGGACAGACGGGCTGGCGGGCAGACAGACAGACAGACAGACAGACAGACAGACAGACAGACAGACATCTTTGAGTATACTTTATGGATAGGTTCTCCATTTTTTCCTCGAGGCCACTGCAATTGACATAGCACAGCAGTCTGATTCCTTGTCTTGCCTCGTTTCATTCACTAATTAGTTTTACACTCTAATACCCTAAACAAAATAAATGACAGTTGACTAAACGGTGAAAGTGTATTGCGTTTGCATGGCTACCTGTTTGTTCTCCATCGTTGATCTCAGCTGGTATTTCGATTTCATAAAGACCATTGGCCTTTACAATAAGTATAAGTAGTGTTGTTTTAAACACGTAACTTCTATCTTTGCCTTTCAAACTTAATTTTCACGAAGTATTTCTAAATGCTTTAACCATTCCTATTTTGCAAAGTGAAACCACGCTGTGCTGTAAATTGACGTAAAAACAACAACCTTGAGCTATGCGCGCTCATTTGACCACCAGTTGCGAGTTCTGTGCCGTAAAACTCTTACAAAAAAGAAAAATAAGATGCAAACTTAATTTCTCTCTCTCTCTCTCTCTCTCTCTCTCTCT